ACTCTTTTGGGAAAACCTAAAGGTTCATTAGAGGTAAAGAGCTCCTCATGGAGTTGGCTGAGGAGTCTAGAGAGACACATACACATAGATCATCTTCCCCTCTGTTTAGTCTTACTTCCTTCCCTTCTCTTCTGAAGGGATTGATCCCAAGTGCTCTTCCTAACAAAATCCCTGCACAATAACCTCCATTTAGGGGTGTGCTTTTTGGAGAGCCCAAGTAAGGAAACCCACATCCTCTTCCAAGAAATCTTAACTTTCATTCATACTCCCACCCAGTGCCCCCCCAGAGCACTACAATGGTTATCAATGCCATTAACATTATATGGACACATAATACTAAACCATTAATAATTTTCAGCAGTGATACAGTTCATATTATTTTGTCCATTTAATTATGGATATAAGATTTTTCTCTTAGTCGTCTTCTATCCTAGGCCTCTCTGCTGCCTAAAGGGACTATTGAGTCACAATGACTCAGCTTTCATGAAAGTTTTACATTTTAAAAGTACCAAAAATAAGTTATATGTTCAACAAATAGCAATTGTTGTTGTTGTTATTATTTATATAATTTTTGTAGACACATACTTTTTAATTCTAATAAGTGTAACTGGTATTAAGCTAGAAGCTCAGTCAAAAAGTCAAAAAGTATGATACATTTCAGGAGAAAATTCAAGTTCAAAGGAGTGAAGTAACTTTTCTAAAATCATGTAATTATGTCATCTAACTTCAACTCATCTTTTCATTAATCTCGCAATGCTTTCATTCTTATACAGTGATAGAATTTTTCTTGAATATGACTACTTTTTTCTACTTGCCTTAATTCCACAACATTCTTTTTATTGCAGAGGAACTAAGTTAGATGATGTTGACATAGATAAAATGGCATAGTTCTTGACCTGAAGGATGGCTGCTATGTCCCATTGATCCTTCAGGGGGAAATTCACATGTTATAATTTTATATTGTCTTTCTTTGGTAAAGCTAAAAAATGTTTAAATAAGCACAGAGTGAAGGATGGCATAAGGAGAGAGAGTAATTTTCAGGTAATCTGTTTTATTACCTTCTGTCCTTCTGTAGACCATTTTTGTGCTACTGTGGTAAGGGGAAGTAAAATGGAGCAATTATAATGTTTCCATTGAGGGAGGGGATGTGGTCCTCTTGAGAGCCGAGGCTATGATTTGTCCTCCACCTTAAAAACCATATCTATTTTGAAATTCTAGATTGACTGCCATCCTTTCTGCAAGAACTCCTTTTTTTCCACAGATAGAATGAGTCATTCTTCAGTGTTTCCATATTTTGTTCCTAATGCTGTCAGCATGTATTACATTAAAGTCAAGTGTCCTATTGTTAGATGTCTTAATATAACTAAACAAGTATCTGCTACACCATGGACTTGTGAGGAAAAGACCATCCTTTATCAGCGTAACCTTCGATCTCCCATGGTGCTTGACACACACTTGACACTTAGTACAAATGACTGAATTAAGATTCTAAAAGTAGTATTCAAATAGTTAGTGCTTAAAAATACTTAAGTTATTATTGAGACTATATTTAATAAAGTCTTCCAATTTTAGGAAGAATGAGGATTATAACTATAAACTAAATGCATATTCTTTCCCAATCACTTGCATATTTTGAAAAATCTCCAATATATATAAGCTTGATCTCTATGATTTTAGCGGTAATAGGTCAATATAATTCCTAACAACCACCCCCAAAATAAAAATAATGTATATTTAAGCCATCTCATGTATGTTTTATATTTGTGGTAAGAAAATACAAAGAGTATGGAAAGATCGCTAGTTATATATCATTTACGGAAGTATTATCTTAAAGCTAAAATTATTGGTTTAAACAAGAACTCAGGTTTGGAACTGGTAGATCGAGTAATGGTTATGTTGCTGGACTCCTGCATAGTCGACTGCAGTTTGAGATTCAGACAGAGTGCCTTGAAACTAAAACCAGGTACGTGTGTGTGCATACCCAAAATCTCGAGAGGAAAATGGAGGAGAAGGGATTGCAGCATGGCCATCCCATCTAAAGGTGATATCTCGCTTTCTGTCTCTCTCTCTCAGTGAGCACATGCGTCCCATAGTGAAGATCTCTAAAAGAAACAAACAAATAAACAAACAAAAAGCACACAAAGAACTCAGTCTTAAGCTAATTTCTGGCAAATAATAGTCATATTTTTTTACAGACCATACAGAATTAACTTCTTCCTCCTTCAATATTATAAAATATAATTGCTAATTCTTAATTCCCAGTATTTTCCCTCATATTGTAACAGATTAAGTTGCTAGTGTATTTGGCCATGGCAAATTTTCAAAGACTTACATAAAATACTGACTTTGCCATTTATTTTGCTGTTGACTGAACTAGAATTTTTATAAGAATAGAGCATTTTTAAGTTTTTTCCTATCGTCCTCTTTTTTTAATACGGTTATACAACAGGAAGGTATAGGAAGGTATGTTATTTTTAATCCCCATTTGTATTCATATAGAACTTTTATGATCTACTTCAAAAGCATGTAATTCATAGGACCAGACTAGGAGCAGGAAACGAGGTCCCTTAACCCAATGTCTCTACTCCTCCCCTGGGTAAGGGCAAGGGGTTCAATGCACTGCCACTCTCATACACTGCTGTAAGGACTTCAGCTGCAGATTCCAAACTTAACGGAAAAGGAACTACAAAGTTAACATGGTACTTTCCAAACATTGGCTGATTACTTTCCATCCTTACTCTCTATCGTTTTCCAGATACATACAAATTCTCATAATAAAACTTTATATCCTAGGCTTTGATGGACTGCAGTTGAGGAGAACTTACCAAATATTCATATGTAAATTAATAAAGTGATTGTAGTATAAACTATACTGGCAGCGATACTGTCTGGTTAATGAAAAATGAGAATCTCAAGGATTATTGCAGGTTTGTATGGATAGCTATGAACTTAGGTGTTTAACCAACCCCTTCCCTTCCAGAAAAAAAAGCAAAAATGCTCGAAACAAATGCAATAGAACAATGGTCTCTAACATATTCCAGATGTCTGTTAAAACATAAAATTTTGGTGGTTCCATAGTGCAGTGGCTAAGTGCATAGGGAGCTAGATTCCACATGATTGATAATGCCTGGGCTCTACTCTGAAGGCTTGAAAAATGCTGTATGTGTAGGCAGCAGTGCCCAAAATCCTGTAGTTCCTTTTCTGTTAATTTGATCAGAAAGAGACAGACAGAAAGATGGAAAGCAAGCCTCCAGGTCCAGACTTGAACCATGGTCAGCTATGTGGGAGTCTAGCATCATACTACCCTGTCACCTGCTAGCCCCCAAATCTAGGTATTTTTAAGCTTTATTATCATTTATTTTTAAAATAAACATTATATTTATTATTTTCTTAATTATTATTTTTATTGAGGTATAATTTATATACCATAAAATTCACTTATATTCAAGAAAAAACTAAAAGTTTGGCTTAACCAGAAGAAAATCAATACCCAAAGTTGTTTTATCTGGCTATTATGAGATATTTGATTCAGAAATGTATGACCTATTTAGTTTGTGTTGTATTAACTTGAACAATTCAACAACAGACCTTCAAAAAACAAGGAAAGAATCCCCAAAAGTGGCCTATTTGGGAACATTTATTGGTGATATCAGTTCTGTATCTTCAGATTGTATTAAAAAAAATTTAAAATGTCACTCATTCTTGAAATGAATAAAAATAAAACAAAGTTATCCTAGTTTAGTAGACCTAAGAGTTTCAATTAATGCTTACAAAAGATAGCCCTAATGTCAAAATCATAAGTTAAAACATTTCAAACCCACTCACTGTAAAGTTATGATGACAAATTTCAATATAAAGCAACACAAGTCAAAATACCTTGTGATGACAGCAATTTGTTTTTAAAAAGTTAATGGGAAGCAAGAAACCAGATGCATAGTTTTCATCAGGCAGATAAAGTTTTAAAAGGTAACATACTGTTAAAATTGCCATGGAAATAAAAAATAAATTAGTTTGCACCCAGGAATCTGAGATAATACTAGTTGATTTCAGACAGACAAATACCAAGAGGACCCTGTGATAAGCCTATTATGATGGTCATGCAACTTGGTACTCCAGTGAAGATTCAGTTTTACTACTGACAATAATGCAGCACTAGACTACCTTTACACCGCATCTTCCTTCAGCAGCAATAATTTTTCAAAATGTTGAAGAAATCCCCAATTCCAGACGCTTAGTTCAGTAATAAGATCTTTCTGAAATAAGTTTAGAAAGACTTCAATTTCTTGAAACTTCCTTCCTGAGGTGTACTTTCCAAAGCAAACTTACCACAACAAAGAATGACTGAGCTTGACATCTCAAATGCCATTAAGAAAATAAATAAAAACTGTTTCTGGGCTAAGCTACAAGTTCACAGTTATCATGGTTATGTAATATCTTTTGAAATCCTCATGATATCTCTCAAGTACTTATGGCAATATTATGGACATTGATCTTGTCGCAAATCTATGGACGAACTGAAAATATTCCCTCATGCAAATTTAAATGCAGACTTGCCATCTATTACAAAGATCATATTGAAGAATAAAAAAAAAATGGTTTAATGGTATGTGACACAGTGCTGTTCACTCTTTTTCCTTATTCCTAATTTTATCATGTAGATTTTAACCAAGAACTTACACTATACAAAAGTAAACATGTGAGCAATATCCTGCACCTAATCTTTACCCAATCCTTTCACTTTCCTCAAGATCTTTCAACAAAGTTGCTTATCCTAGAGTAGTCTTCACTTGTTACAATATCCTATTGTATCTCTCCTGCCAGATCTCTGGAGATGTTAATGAATATAGTAATGATTTAACCCATCACAGGAGAAATACCAAGGTACCAAAGGTATAAACAATCGAGAAGCTGGAAAAATCAACTTCTTTGTGGCAGTTAGTTAAATATTCAGTGTGACGCCTCACTTATGCAGTTACATTATTCATTCAGTGAAGACATACCTGCTTGACCAGTGGTGATACTGACAGCCGCAAAGAGCCTCTGGGATCGGCTTAAATCTGAAACTCCGTTTACAGCTTCCACTTCGAAAGTGTAATTAGCGTGGGCTAGCAGGTCCATGACTGTGACATAGTTATCCTCTAATCCAGTCTGCTGGGGCATGTATCCAATGTTACTCCCACAGGGAACACATTCACCCTGCTCCCAACTGCACCGCTTACATAATATCCGGTAGGTCACATCGTTTCTTCCCCCATTGTCTGCAGGAGGACTCCATTCCAAACTTACTGTGGTTTGGTTGATGTTGAAAATGAGGTTCTGTGGTGCAGATGGAGGCCCTTTGGAAACCAAATAAATAAGCAAATAAGCAAAAATAGAAAATAAAAAACATACAAATGCAGAGAACAAAAGAATCTATGTTGGGCATTATGCTAGTGGCTCAGGCCTGGCTGCATAGGTGCAGGTGGTAGGATGCTGCTGCACAAAACGGGAGCCATATGGAAAAGACCAGAGTTTGAATCCTGAGTTGACCTGATTGCAGTGTGGCAGGACTCTGTCATGGGACGTTGTCTATCTCTGGCTGAATAAGTAAGTATACTTTAAAACAAAACAAAACAAAACAAAAACCCACCTAGTACTCAAATACCAAAGAGAGAATGAATTGAAAAACTTTCATTCACAAACATTTCATTACCTTCACTAGAAAAGTTACAAAAAAGCCTCCTTGAATTTTCTTGGCAAAAGAACTTATTTATTTTCCACTTAATATGTCAAAATGAAAATAGTGTAACAACTGTCTGTACTTTTGTCACAGTCTTGAGTTATTTTTCTTCCAAGCAATTAAAGAGAAAAGTTAAAACACTTAAAAAAGAGTTGTGCAGTTGTTTAAAAATAGTTTGCCTTTTAGCCATATAACAGAGAATACATTTATTCATTTTTAATGTACTCAGAATGATTTATAGTAAGGTCTAGCTCTAGCTTTGGATGTGGGTCTCTCAAACATTCATTAATTGAAGCACCAAGATGTGAGATTTGCTCTATTTAGTGATGAAATTTTAATTCAGAAACCATTACTTTTTAATCACACTTCATATCCATGTACAGTCTAATAACTTTTTATTTATGATCCTATTAGAAACATGTGAAAAATGTTATTAAAATGCGTCTTAACTTTGTAGTTATGAAAATTATACTGAAATAGATATAGGATATATATTTTATATCATTATTTAACCTTATTTGCTCACAAGAAAATTCAAGAATAATTAAGAATAGATTCACGGTTATATTCATATCTATCTCAATGAGGTTACAATAACCAAATGAGTGGAAAGGATCTGAGAGACCTTTTAGATTTCATGTCATAGACTCACTTGTGCACGCAACATACGGTGGGTCAGATGGAGCCCTATAATACCCATCTTCACATTCACATCTTGAGGAGCCTTCTTTATCAGAAAAACTGTGAGTTGGACAACGAGAGCACTGAAGATCTTGAGAGGAAGATTTGTAGAACCCACGACCACAGGCTGGATAAACAAAAGAATACAAAAATAGAAACATGAGAGCAAACAGACCTTTAAAAAATTCTAGTAAAATTTACCAAAAAATAAAATAGTAAACTTTATTTGTGAAAAGCAAGATCTTTGAGATAAACTATTTGTTTTATTGTATATATTGTAAATATGTTGTTATAATACTATATTTTAAAACAAAATAATGACAAAAATAATAGGACAATTTGCACCTATAATTGGCATCATTCCAAAGTCTGGAGTTCAAAATTGAATGTGAGCATAATTTATTTAGACAAAATTTTAAGATATTTAAGGTGCATATTGAATTCAATTTTAACTTTGATTTTGACATAATTAACTTGCTTATTGGTTTACATTAGCACACTTCATAGTTATGCTTTCTTATTCTAATGTAGCTAGAAATTAACATTTATGTGTTATTTTGGTTCAGGTTGAAAAATACTAATATATTTTTAACTATCAGACTACTAATAGTAAAGACATAAAAATTTTACTTTAAAAAAATGATACAAATACATCCCTAAAAACTTTACATAAACTAGAAGACATAAGTTTAATCCATCTAAGTTATAAGAGAAGCTTCTTTTCATTAGGTGAATTTTCCTGATACTAAAATTCACGAGATCTTATGAATAGGAGATAGCACCCTCACCAGAAACAAGCAAAAAGCCACCAACTGTTAATAGACCATGCCCTATTCCTCATGCTGGGAGAGGTCTAGGGTGCAGTCACAGTAACACAGCAACTGCTCTCGAAGTGACCAAAGATGTGCAGAGAGTATCTGTCAGCTCCTAATGAAGATGCTCTTATTAATTTTGATATTTCATTAAATTATGTAAGTATGTGCCATTTACTATCACCAGACATTTTACATAGTAATATTTAACTTCAAATAAAAATTTAGCAAGTTAAATTTTCATTATTTCAACAGGTTCTTTTTACTAATTGGCAGTATTATACATTGAATCTATTGAATAGATTCATGTACCCATCACACTTATTGAATGACTATTTAGCTTTGGCAACACATTTAATAAAAAAGAACAAATAATATCCACAAAGAAAGATTAGTGAATATTTAATATGAATTCAATTTTTGTTTCTACTTTGTTATTTGCAAGTTTAATATTCTTTACTTGGGCAGTATTCAGAAAAATAATTCTATTTTTTCTATTGAAGATGGGAAGCAGAAACAGTCCTATCTTATTTAGATGGCATGAACTTTAGGGAAAAAAGTGAGT